TTTAAATGAACAGCCTATGAATAGAACATAAAACCATAAATGTTAGGTCTGGAAGTGACTTTGGAGATACTCTTCCAATGTCCTTTTTCTAGATAAGGAAGCTGAATCCCAACGTCACATGACTTGCATCTGGTTAGTAAGTAGCATAATTGGTAATAAGATGCCCTGACTTTGAGAATAGTCTTCTTTTCACCATCTTATTTTGCTTCAGATTCATTTTGTTCAACCAAATTCCAGGTACACTACCTTGCAAGTTTGTCTTACAGGAGGGTAAGCATTGTGACAGTGACAGCTCCATCTACCATCACAAAATCACAGCGAGTGCCACGTGTGATCATGGCATTTAAGAAGGCAGGCATGAAAGCATGCGCTGGTCCCTCTTATCCATGGTTTTGCTTTCCAGTTTCAGTACATATGATCAACCTCTGAAATAATGACTCCAAAGCAGAAGAGTACTGTGCCTAATTTATAAATTAAGCTTTATCATAGGTATGTATGTATTGGAAAAAACATAGTGTACATAGGGTTAAGTTCTATCTGTGATGTCAGACATCCACTGGGGTTCTTGGAATGTATCCCCCAAGGATAAGGAGGGACTACGTATTTTTATGTCTCTACTCTTCCCCCCAAGTCAGATTAACTCATAACTATCCAGATCTTAAGAACAATATGACTTTAGGCAAGTGACTTAATCTGACATTGCCTTGTTTTTCTCATTTGAGAAATGAAGATAATGCTACTCATTTCATTGGGTTGTCATAAGGATTAAACTATGCTGATGAGTATTAAGTGCTTAGTATTATGTGTTTGTTAAATTTGTTAAAATAAGTAGAATGATACACCACTAAGTAGTATTTTCTAAACATCTGTTTCCCAAACCTGTAGTCTTAATTAAGCAGCTTCTTGACAGCTCAGACATAAATTCTCAGGTATCTATTGCCCAACTGCCGACTGAGTGGTTATAGTTGTTCAACGCAAGCTTTGAAAAGTGATGATTAAGATTGGACACTAGGAAAGAAGTAGAAAATATTTCCAGGTCCATAAAGTAATTATTGCACAAAATTCATGCATCAAAGTTAAGCACTTTATTGGCAGAAGAGTTCCATCATTTTCCTCCTTCATGACCTATGGTTTTTTGTTTGTTTGTTTTTTTGAGACATGCTCTCACTCTGTTGTCTAGGCCGTAGTACAGTGGCACAATCTTGGCTTAAAGTCATATTGTTCTTAAGAGCTCAACCTCCACCTCCCAGGCTCAAGCAATCCTCCCACCTCAGCTTCCCTAGTAGCTGGGACTACAGGTACATATAACCATGCCCAGCTAATTTTTGTGTTTTTTGTAGAGAGAAGGTTTTGCCATGTCACCCAGGCTAGTCTTGAACTCCTGGGCCGCAGCAACCTGCCTGTCTCAGCCTCCCAAAGTGCTGGAATTAGAAGCTTGAGCCACTATGCCCGGCCCTAATAACTCTTACTTTGTTCAACAAATAGTTTTTGAATATCTTGCTGTACTCAAGATTTTTTGGAGTAAAAGCTCAAGGACTTGATTAGCTGATTTTCAGTTTTTGCATGTTAGCAGTAGCAACTGAATTACAGGAAAGTTGTTAGCGTCGGCCGAGGTAAAGAAAAGAGATAAATGAACCCCTGAGAAAGCTCAGGGGTACTCCAGTATAATGGCAGCCCCTACATTATTTCATTACAAAGGGGTGCTGTAGTGGATATTCATAATCATAAAATTTTACCTCCAAAAGGGAGGGCCCTTGAGTGTTGTCTAATTTAGTTTTCTTGTTTTGCAATAGATAAAATGACCCTGAAACATTGAGAACACATTAAATCATGTTCTATAGATTGTTTGTGGGAAGTTAGCCAAGTGTGTATTGCCTTTTAGAAAGCTTTCTATGCAAGCTAATTATAAAGTTTGGTACCTAAAAAGTTTAGCTACTATTTCCTGCCTTTTCATTAAGTAAAACACCTAAAGATATGAAATAAATGAGCATTATCTCACGTAGATCTCTCCTTAGAGATTAAAGCCTATCACAATAAATATAATTATAATGAAAATATTTAAGAAAAATATAATCATGATTTAGCCATGTGACCTTGGGACTCTACTACCTGTTCTATAAAATGGTAATGATAATTGTCCTTCCCTATATCATGACTAGTTTTTAAAAAATTTTGGTAAAATACGCAAAACACAATGTATCATCTTAATCATTTTCAATTGTGCAATTCAGTAGTGTTAAGTACATTCACATTGTGTAACCATCCCACTGTCCGCTTCTAGAAATTTTTTATCTTTTCAAACTGAAATTCCATACCCATTAAGCAAATAAGTATCTTCTGTCTTTATGAACTTGAGTACTTTAGGTACCTCATAAATGGAAATACTGTGTGTGTGTGTGTGTGTGTGTGTGTGTGTATGAGAGGGAGAGAGAGAGACTTCTGGCTCATTTCACTTAGCGAAATGTCTTCATTTCTTTTGAGTGTATATTCAGAAGTTGAATTGCTGGATCATATGATAATTCTATTTTTAGATTTTGAGGAACTGCTGTACCATTTTTCATATTAGCTGTACCATTTTATCTTCCTGCCAGCAGTATACAAGAGTTCCTATTTCTCTGCATTCTTTACAGTGCTGACTTTCTGTGTTTTTTTTTTTTTTTTTCTTAATAGTAGCCATCCTACTGGATGTTAGGTGGTATCTCTTTGTGGGTTTGATTTGCATTTCCCTAATGATTAATGAGTTGAACATCTTTTCATGACTTTATTGGCCATTTATCTTTTATCATGGCTTAGTTTTGATACAACGAGTTTTGATATAATGACTAGATTTTCACGTATAATCACATACACGAAAGTCCAGAGAATTATAATGATAATGTCTTATATAAGTGAAATTAGTGATTACAGTTGTGTTAACATTTTTTTCTGATATTAATAAAACTGCACTGAACGGTTAAAAGAGGCAGAATTCGAGTTCTGTAGAGGAAGTTGTTTGTACAGTTGGAATTCATTGTGCTCAAGACTTAAGACAATTTTGGAATACATGTGTATGTGGCTAGCATGAGGCCATAGCAAACAATTACCCGGTGTTAAGGCCGTGAAAATAGTCCTGTTTGTTTAACCAGTCCCTTGTTGAGGTGTTTGTTAATCCTGGGTTGTTAGCCTAAAATTTAATAGTAAACTCAACTGAGAAATAAACTGAGAAATTTGCTAACATAACTAAAATATAAATGCATAAAATCAGTATTAATTGTGACTCATTAAGATGTACTTCACAAGAGCAGTCAAAATAGAGAATATGACAAGAATATGGTAAGGCATAAGAGAATTGTGATACTTTACTGAAGAATATAAAAGATTGGGATGACTAACTGGTCAAATATATGCCTGAATGAAAAGACCTGATAGTAGTTACATATTGAGTTAAGTGTGATTTTTCTCAAATTAATATATTTAGTGTAATTCCAGTCAGTATTTTAACAAAATTATTAATCTCTGAAGTTTATTTGGAATGTGGGTGATGAATAAAGATAATACCAAAAAATCTCAAATTTTTAATCAGCTGTATACAATAATACCTAGTATAAATTATAGTAATAAATCTAGTGTTTATTCAGGAATAAACAGAGTAATGGAAAAGAATTGAGGACCCAGATACAGAACTGTCTGTCTATGGTGTTTGACATATCACTTATTATTTATTTATTTGGAGATAGAGTCTCACTCTGTTGCCCAGGCTGGCAGTGGCACAATCTCGGCTCACTGCAACATCTACCTCTCAGGTTCAAGTGATCCTCCTGCCACAGCCTCCCAAGTAGCTGGGATTACAGGTGCATGCCACCACACCTGGCTAATTTTTTTTGCATTTTTGGCAGAGGCAAGGTTTCAGCATGTTGGCCAGGCTGGCCGTGAACTCCTGACCTCAAGTGATCCACCCGCCTTGGCCCCCCAAAGTACTGGGATTACAGGTGTGCGCCATCACACCCGGCCTGATGTATAATTTTTAATTAGTTGGTAAAGGATAGACCTTTTTTTTTTTTTTTTTTAAGATGGAATGTCACACTGTCACCCAGGCTGGAGTGCACTGGTGTGATCTCAGCTTACTACAACCTCTGCCTCCTGGGTTCAGGCGATTCTCCTGCCTCAGCCTCCCGAGTAGCTGGGATTACATGCACCTGCCATCATCCCTGGCTGATTTTTGTATTTTAGTAGAGACGGGTTTCATCATGTTGGCCAGGCCAGTCTTGAACTCCTGACCTCAGGTGATCCACCCACCTTGGCCTCCCAAAGTGCTGGGGGTACAGGCATGAGCCACGCCCAGCCAAAGACAGATTTTTTAATTAGTGGTGGGATGATTGTTGGTTATCTATTTGGAAAAAGAGACTTTCCTTTAGTACTGTGTATCGTCATATTCCAGTTGGATACATGTTTTAAATTTGAAAAAGTCACATAGTATTAGAAGAATTTAATTTTGATTTCATGACATTGAGATTAGAAACCAAAAAGAGAACAAAATTGATTACATAAAAGGAAAAACTTCTGTATGGCAAAATATTTTATAAGCCTTATTAAAAGACAGACTTGGAAATGCTATTTAGCAGTGAATTTTAATAGTTATTGTCAGAATAATTTAAATGCTGAAAGTTTGATACTTGATTTCATCTACTTTGTGTGTGAAAATGTACATCAGGTGAACACATTTATAAATTTTCATATGTATTTGTAATATAAAAAATTTTTTAACATAAGGAAATATGTGAAAAATTACATTAGTTTCAAAAATACCTTTTTTAGATGGGAGAATTTATCTTTGTTGGGACAAAAATAATGCATCTCTTCAAGAATTATGGCCATAAGGAACATATTCTTAAAGTGGATGGTTACCAATGGTAAAAAAATATTTACTAAAATGGGTACAAATGCAATGTTGATATTAGAAGTTTATGCAGTGTCATTATAAATGTTGATTAGTCTAACCTCAAATGTTTTATTTTGTTCAGTCAGGTCAATTCAGTGAAGATATGATACCCACAGTGGGCTTCAACATGAGGAAGGTAACTAAAGGTAACGTCACAATAAAGGTATGTTATTTCTTGCCATATGCAATTTAAATTGTTAGCATAAACACCTAGAAATTATTCTGTTTAATCTCTGTGTTTTTACTGAAAATTTGCAGTTTTTCAGTAATGAATGTGCATGTTTCAAAAGAATAGTTTTTGTTGTTGTTGTTGTTCTTTTTTTTTTTTTGAAGCAGAGTTTTGCTCTTTCACCCAGGCTGGAGTGCAGTAGTACAATCTTCACTCACTGCAACCTCCGCCTCCCGGGTTCAAGTGATTCTCCTGCCTCAGCCTCCAGAATAGCTAAGATTACAGACTTGTGCCACCACGCCCAGCTAATTTTTTGTATTTTTAGTAGAGACAGGGTTTCACCATGTCTATTAGGCTCGTCTCAACTCCTAACCTCAAATGGTCTGCCTGCCACAGCCTCTCCAAAGTGCTGGGATTACAGTCGTGAGCCACCATGCCTGGCCAAGAATAGATTTTTAATCTATTTTGTTTTTCAAAAATAAAATCTATGGCCTGAGGCTTAATGTCCATTTTGCCCAATTATTGTGGTTCACAGAAGCTGTTCACTTTCTCTGTGGCTCATCTAATGAAGTTCCAGATTCCGTCATGTGCATGTTTCTTTATGCTTGTTACCAGTTCTGTAGTTAAATTGGAAACCTCTTGAAGATAAATGCCATGATTTGAGACTTTGATGTAACCCAATGTCTAGTGTGATGCCCTATGGAGTAGACACAATATGGATGGTGGCTTTCATATGGATAAAATAATTTTTATTTTTTTGAGATGGAGTTTCACTCTTGTTGCCCAGGCTGGAGTGCAATGGTGTGATCTCAGCTCACTGCAATCTCCACTTCCTGGGTTCAAGTGGTTCTCTTGCCTCAGCCCCCGAGTAGCTGGGATTACAGGCACCTGCCACCACACCTGGCTAATTTTTTGTATTTTTAGTAGAGATGAGGTTTCACCATGTTGACTGGGCTGGTCTCGAACCCTGACCTCAAGTGATCCACCTGCCTCAGCCTCCCAAAGTGCTGGAATTACAGGCGTGAGCCACCATGCCCAACCAAAATATTTTTATATAAGAAAAACACCTATGTGGAAATGTTGGCTACTTATTTACAGGATAATTTAAAAAGGTTAGGCATTAATGTAGAACAAATCAGACAATTAAGCTTTAATAGATTCTGAATTGCTATTTTCTGTCTTGGCATTCAAATCTGGATGGTGCATGGTCCTGTAACTTTTAAATTGTTATAAAGACATGTTTTCAGTAATAGAAGTATATTAGTTAACAGGCAAACTGTTGCACATAAACCAAATCTTTGCTCAAGCAAACTTTTAGATGTATTGTAAATGTATTAAATACGGACTTCAAGTTTAGAAGTGACCCCAAGAATTCCCATATTAAGAGCTTGTTTGAAGTCAAGTTTTTCAGGAGCACTTTGCCTCTAACGTTGTAGAAATAAGTGTATCTTTCTGATCTTTTTCATTTTCTGTTACTTCCTCTTTCAATCATTTATTTAAAATATCTTTATTAAGAATTGCCTTGTTTTGGTTTAAAGATATGGGACATAGGAGGACAACCCCGATTTCGAAGCATGTGGGAGCGGTATTGCAGAGGAGTCAATGCTATTGTGTAAGTGGGTTTTTTTTTGTTTGTTTGCTTTTAAATCAATTTAGGCATCAAAGAAGAAAGTTTATTTTAGTATTTCTGGAGGCTCAATTTTTATCTTGAAAATGAAAGTCTTTCTTAGCTAATATCCTAGTGCAAGTCCATTAACATGGGATTTAAAAAAATTAATCATAGAATAAGATCTTTATGTTTTTTGTTTATGGAGCCAAGAGCTAAGGGGTATACATGTTTTACTATCATGTATTACTCTCTAAAAACAGTCTAGTTAAAAAGTATTAAAGAGTGCTGAGCCTTTCTTTAGGACATAGTTTATTTTGGTTAACAATTTCAATAATGTAAATCTTACGAAAATTAAAAATCAGTAATACCAGTTGTCGTCATCAAGTCATATAGAGAAGGTATGTTGAGATCACTTCATTTTTTTAAGTTACATGATAGATGCTGCAGATCGTGAAAAGATAGAAGCTTCCCGAAATGAGCTACATAATCTTCTAGATAAACCACAGTTACAAGGAATTCCAGTAAGTACGGAATACTTGTTATTTTACATTGTAATTATATAATGATATTCATTATGGTAATTATACAATGATATTAATTATGTTTGAAATCAGTAACATCTTCTTTTTTAAAATCTGGAAGACTTGTTTACCGTGTATCTGCCATATACTGGGCATTGTGGTAAATATGAATCTCGTAACCAGATATCTACTAAACTACTGTGCATCAGGAGCAGTGCTTAGGCCCAGAGATAGAGTGATGAACAGAAATCAGTGGAAACATACTCTTTGCCGTCATGGACCTTATGGTTTAGTGGGAAAGGTAGATACTCTGAATAATGCAGCTTTAAGTGCTAGGAAGAAAGGTGCAAGGGGCTATGAGAGTTGTAATTTAGAGGGGAGATTTGATCTAGTTTGCAGGAAGAAGGAGGGATTCACGAGGAAGTAATGCTTGAGCTGAGATCTGAGGGATACATACGAATGTGAGGTATATGACAGCTGGAGGAGAAGAGAGTTCCAGGTAAAGGTCTTTGGGTGGGAGGAAGTGGGAAACTGAGAAGAGGCCAGTCTCTCGAATACATTCAGGAATTTGCATTTGGATTAGGAATGCTCAACCAGTAAGTATATAATGCAAATCCAAAAAAAATTCCAAAATTCGAAACACTTCTGGTCCCAGGTATTTTGGATAAGGCATACTAAACCTGTATTAAGAATAGCAGAATGTGGTTGGGCGCGGTGGCTCACGCTTGTAATCCCAGCACTTTGGGAGGCCGAGATGGGCGGGTCATGAGGTCAGGAGATCGAGAGACCATCCTGGCTAACACGGTGAAACCCCGTCTCTACCACAAAAAATTAGCCAGGCGTGGTGGCAGATGCCTGTAGTCTCAGCTACTCGGGAGGCTGAGGCAGGAGAATGACGTGAACCTGGGAGGTGGAGCTTGTAGTGAGCCGAGATCACGCCACTGCACTCTGGCTTGGATGACAGAGCGAGACTCCGTCTCAAAATAATAATAATAAAAGAATAGCAGAATGCATAGCATAGACTCAGAATATTTTAAATAGAAGTTGGCAGCCACACACTGAATTAAGGGCACTTCCATTGTAGGAGTTTAGCGAATACCAGTATAAGCAATGAAATGAATGAGATAGGCCACCACAAAATGCCTTAATATTGTGGAATGTGTTAACATCTTAATTTTATGTCTTCACCTATCAAGATGATAAACTTCTGTGACTTTTTCTTACATAAAAGTGTGCTCTTAATATCTTTTCTTTTTAAAGGTGCTAGTGCTTGGAAACAAGAGAGATCTTCCTAATGCCTTGGATGAGAAACAGCTAATTGAAAAAATGTATGTCTTGAATATGCTATTTTAATAATTTGCTTCTAAATTACCATATTTTGTCCACTTGTTATGTTATTCCTAATGATCATAGCCATATTTTTTAGATAGATAAATTTTAGCCTATCAGAGAAGTGAATCCTAACATTTTAGGATTGCTACAATGATTTCTTCAGTATAGTAATAAAAGTAATGAGTAAAATTGAACAAAGTGATAAGTATGACAGCTGTTCTAAGCACAAACTTATCCTCTTCTTCTCATAGGAATCTGTCTGCTATTCAGGATAGAGAAATTTGCTGCTATTCAATTTCTTGCAAAGAAAAGGATAATATAGGTAAGAAATGACTGGTAATTTTGGAAGAAATGGGTATCATTGGAAGGAATGTCTGTGCTTCTTACAGCTTATTATCTCGATTTCTCATTAAGTGACTTCCTTTACAGAATACTGTTGCTTTTGCTTGAGAAAAAAGAATAGATGTTATACCTTTTGACAACAAATATAGTGAATCTTCACTTTACATTATTGATGGCTTCTTGGAAATTGCAGTTTTATCTCTCTGTCTCTCTCTCTCATATAAATATATATAAAATATATCTAATATCTAATATCTAATATATGTAATATTTTATATATATTTATATATAAAATATACTATATATAACATATATTATATATATATATTTTTGAGACAGTCTCACTCCTTCACCCTGGCTGGAGTACAGTGGCGTGATCTCAGCTTACTGCAACCTCTGCCTCCCGGGTTCAAGTGATTCTTGTGCCTCAGCCTCCTGAGTAGCTGGGAGTACAGACGTGCACCACCACGCCCAGCTAATTTTTGTATTTTCAATAGCAACAGGGTTTCACCATGTTGCCCAGGCTGGTCTTGAACTCCTGACCTCAAATGATCCACCTGCCTCAGCCTGCCAAAGTGTTGGGATTACAGGTGTGAGCCCGGCCTATATGTTGTCAAACTGTTGAACAGCAAAACATTTTTTAAAAAGAGGAAATTGTACTTTTAAGTGAAATGACATACAGTAGGCCCTCATTTTGTTCAGTGTTACAATGTTAATGAGAAAAAAAATAGTTTTGTTATACACCGTTTCACTTAAAGTGGCAGTTTCCAAGAACCTGTCAATGATGTTAAGTGAGGACTTAATGTATAACATCCTGAATCTTCTTTGTGCTATTTAAAGAAGAAAATGCAATAAAGTCTTGAGGCTAAGATTATGTGACACCAATTTATTGTATTAATTTTTGCAGAGCTAGTGTCCAGCTGTGCTTTATAACAAAATGGCATTTATGGAATAAGACTTTACAAAAATCAGTTTACAGCCACTACAACAATTTTTTAGTTATTGAACCGGTGTATTACTGCAGTATGTTAGCACTCTATTGGAATTATAAGCCCAAAATACCTTTCATTTACTCAGTGCCCATATTAATTTCTTAGAACTGCCATAACAAAGTACCACAAACGAGATGGCTTGGAACAGCAGAAACTTAAGTCATTCAAAATTCTGGAGGCTGGAAGTCCAAAATCAAGTTGTCAGCAGGGTCGTGTTCTCTCTGAAAGCTGTAGAAGATCCCCCCCTTGCCTCTCTCTAACTTGTGGTGGTTGCCAGCAATCCTTGGCATTCCTTCACTTGTAGATGTACCACTCCAGCCTCTGCCTCACATTCATGCTTCTCCCCTGTAGTTGTCTCTGTCAGTGTATTATCTTTTCCTAAGGACAGAAGTCACTGGATTACGGCCTACCTTAATTCAGTATGACATTATCTTAACTAATAACTTGCAGAGACCCTATTTCTAGTAAAAGTCACATTCCGAGGTTCTGGATGGACATGACTTTTTAGGGGGACACTAAACATTCTAGCATAGTATCCTTACAGAATAGGTATGTATGGCTCAACTTCAGTTTCTTAACCAATTTGGTGTGAGATGATTTGATACATGAATGTATTGGAATAAAATGTAATAAATAGTACCAAAATAGTATATTTACAAAGTTTATGCTGATATTTTTTCTTTAGCTTTTGTATTCCAGTCTGTCCTTCCCTAACTCACCTTCCACCCCTCCTGCAAACATGGCTTTATTTATTTTTTATTTTTTTTAAGATGTAGTCTTACTCTGTTGCTGTGGCTGGAGTACAGTGGCAAGATTTTAGCTGACAGCAACCTCCACTTCCTGGGTTCAAGTGATTCTTGTGCCTCAGCCTCCTGAGTAGCTAGGATTACAGGTGCCCACTACCACGCCTGGCTAATTTTTGTATTTTTAGTAGACACAGGGTTTCACCATGTTGACCAGGCTGGTCTTGAACTCCTGAGCTCACGTGATGCACCTGCCTTGGCCTCCCAGAGTGCCTGGATTACAGGCATGAGCCACCATGCCCAGCCACAAACATGCTTTATTCAGCTTAAAGTGTGGATAGTTGTTCTGACTGATTTTGGGCTTCCTTTAAAGACATCCGAGGTGGTCTCAGCCCTAGTAACAGCTGATATACACAAATTTTCCTTTATAAATGGATAGAATAATTCACTTGTTACATTGGGAGCGTTTATTTGAGAACAGACTTGTCAAGCACTTGTGGTTACTTTTAAAAGTTTTTTCTCTAAGTGGCGGGGAAAACCCTTTTTAAAATTTAAGATATGCTCCATGAGAGCATTTATTTCTACGTCAGTGGTTCTCAATGGGGAGCATTTTCCCCGGGATACTTTTGACAATGTCTGGAGACATTTTTGGTTGTCACAACTAGGAGGGTGATGCTGGCATCTAGTGGGTAGAGACCAGAGATGTAGGTAAACATACTATAGCGTCCACAGCAAAGAATTATCCAACATAAAATGTCAGTAGTGGCAAGGTTGAGAAATCCTGTCACACTAACCGTAATTTTTAGTCCATTGTGCTGTTTTGTAAATCCATTACTCCCTATATGTTTTCTGTTTTGCCATTGTTACAAAATAGTTGGATGCTTTCCTGACAAAAAAAAAAATATGGGCTCATGTATGGAAGTGCAGTAGAGCTGTGAGGACTTCTTTTGCTATTTGAGGCTGATCTTAGTAGTTTGCTAAATAGCTCAGTAGTAATTTTAGTACTCCTGACTCACTTAAAATGTTATCAAGCCCAAGGAAACCGATCCAGTCTAATAAGATCTAGTCTAGTAAGATTCGAAATAAGTATTTTATAAATCGGTTCATCTGATTATCTTATTTCTTTTGTCTTTTTCCCTATTCATAAATATCTATTTGTCTTTAGGATATGAACTTCTATCAGTATCCACAGAGGCTTCGTATAGTTCTTTAGGGAATTTCTTTTTTTTTTTTTTTTTTTTTGAGATGGAGTTTCACTCTTGTGACCCAGCTGGAGTGCAATGGCGCGATCTTGGCTCACTGCAGCCTCCGCCTCCTGGGTTCAAGTGATTCTCCTGCCTCAGCCTCCCGAGTAGCTTGGATTACAGGCACCCGCCACGATGCTCGGCTAATTTTTGTATTTTTAGTAGAGACCGGGTTTCACCATGTTGGCCAGGCTGGTCTTGAACTGCTGACCTCAGGTGATCCACCCACCTTGGCCTCCCAAAGTGCTGGGATTACAGGTGTGAGCCACCGCGCCCAGCCGTGGATTTCTTAAATATTTAAATTTGGTTATTTCACTTCAGATTTACCTTTCTCCCATTCAGTTCAAATGAGTGTGGCTTTGCTCTTATTGTGCACTGTTGTCCCCATTTTAAGGTGCAGAGGTGCTTCTTCAGTAGTTGAGTGAAATCACTGTTTCCACAGTGGTGAACAGGCCACGTTTGTTCATAGCTCAGCCCTGTGTTGTTTCGTTAATGCATATTAGCTGGGAAACTGGTAGTGAATTTACCCTCATCTTTCAGGCTTGGAGAATTGAGTGGTGCTTCTAATAGACTCTCACGTACCCTTTTGAAGAAATGAGGATAAGAATTATCCAGCCCCAGATGTTGAAAGGGCATGATGTGAATCCTGCGCTAGCCTTGGCAGTGACAGCCTTCTCTCCCATCCCTCTGCTTTAGTCACGTTGTATCACTCAGAACCCATCCAGAGCTCCACAATGTTTCATGCCTTTTAAAATTCTTTGCCGTTTTTTTTTTAACCTGGAATTTTGTGGGGTGGCCCCCAAGCCCCAATAATTACTGCATCTTTTCTGTGTATTATACTTAAAAGTTCCTTGAGGCCAGACAGGGGTTCTTCCTTTTTTTTTTTTTTTTTTTGCCTTCCTGGCAATTTGCAATCGTATGGGCAACGCATAAAAGATGGCACCAGCCATCCTATACACAACTTAATTTTTAAATCAGAAAACCCTTCAGTCTCTGATAATTCCTCATATTCTCTTTAAGTTCAGGTAATGGAGTATGGGAATACAGATGGCAGAAAAGCAGAAGAGGTCAGGCATAGTAGGTGCCTTGAATTAGCAGCATTTTAAATATTGTCTTGTTTGATGTTTAGTTTTTTAACTTTAATGTCTTCGCTTTTCCCCTCTATCTTTAGATATCACACTTCAGTGGCTTATTCAGCATTCAAAATCTAGAAGAAGCTGAAGCATCTCCTGAAGTCTTCCAGTCTTTCTTGGCTATAATCCTAGAATTATTGTCCGTTCCTCTGAAGTAATTCCCAGAATACGGTCCTTCCTAAACCCAAGAAATTGCCTTTTTCAGAGTTTATTTCTCATGTGCACTGCTGAAGATGAGTATCCCTAATCCTTCATAAAGAATCAGCTAGAGTTGTCATGATAAAGTCAGCACACACAAAAAGGCTCCTTACACATACCTGTCTTAAACCATGTGTAGAGCTTTTAAAAACAAAACAAAACAAACCCCCATACACTTTTGACCATCTTAAATCAAGAAAATTGCGTATTTCCATTCTGGTCTTTCTGGGCTAGATTTTTATATTGGTTTTCAGTAAATGTCTATCTATAATATTTCATTATAGAGTCCAGTAGCTTAGTACTGACACTGACTTGATACAGCATGAAGTTTCTAGTGCCACACACAGTATTTAGAAAACCTTTAAGCGTGAATGACTTACGTGGGATATATATAAACATAATGTTTACTTTATCTCACAAATGCATGTGAAATGTATAATTACATCCTAGGAATCCAAAATGGTCTGCAGAGAGTGAGCGGAGGCACCAGATCAATGTTGGTTCTTTACACTGGTGAGATTCTACCTGATGAATATTAAAGATATTCTACTTTCTGAGAACTCTTTATCACCAGATGGCAGTTGGGATATGGGAGGAACTAAAGCATCCTGTTTTGTATCTGTCCAGATCATTATTTCTGTCGCTTGTTTTTTCTTCCCGGTTCAGGATACTTTTTTAAGGGATTGAGAATTGAAGATTTTCCAAAAGCTTTCATGAATTTAGAGCATTCCACCCAATATAATAAAACCTGTTAAGAATGTCAGACTTTGTTCAAACATCTGTTTGTTCTATCTCCAGTCATTAAATCAGTGCTGCTGCATGACACTCTAACTCCTGACTTTTTATATCCAGTCATAAAGTTGACTTTCAGCACAACAGATACTTATAAACAAATAAAAACTTTTTATTTTTCTCTCTTATTGATGTAAGGTTTGGCACTCTTTTGACTGGTGCCATTAGACATCTTGATTATTGTGACAACTCTAGACCTGCCTGCTCTATCTAATGTAATCATGCTCGGCGTCTGCAGGTTGTTTAATAATCAGTCACACAGAGAACTGAGGAACTGATGCTGTTTGTTTGCTTCTATGATACAGAGATGTCTAAAAACTTCAAATGGACATGTTTTGTAGTTTAGCAACTTCCGTATACATAAAGGGACATATTAATACTGGTTCATTTGTAAATTATTATTCATATAGACCACTGTAGTAGATATAACTCTATGGTACACCTGCTTATGTGTTGCCTCACACTGTGTGTGATTTTGTTTCTTTTGTTAAGCAGCACTTACGTAGACTGCATTTCCAAATGTGTTGAGCACTCAGAGTGTAGTCAACAGTACATTCTTTTAATGAATACCAGTTTTAATTTATAGACTGCCATGGCCTTAAATATATTCTGTACAATATACTGCACTGTGTTGCACAGACACTACTTGCTTTTCTCCATTCATATTTTTATGAGTAGAATCTGGGCTTTTAAATTTCTCTTCTTATTCTTTGAAGCATGTTGCATACTTCCCTGGTGAGATGGATGGTTCTGTAAATGAAGGGATATTTAAACTTGCTACTGTTGTTCAACACCATTCATGGTCAGTCTGAACCATTACAAAGAATGTGGCAACTTGCTTGTGCCTAAAAGGAGGAATTGGAACTAGAATGTGTGACTTTGTGGGGACTGCATAGGTTTATTAATTGACCTATAGCTAAACCTTAATGTGTTTGTGTGTCTATACATTGCTTTAAGCATTTCAAGACATCCAGACGCTATTACCAACATTTTCCTGTGCATTAACTTCTGCATGTGAAAACTTTTAACAGTTACTGAACTATGTAAATATGTGAATTTTTTTTATTTAGGTGGATGCATTTTTTGTCTGTTTACTGCTCTTCTCAGCTTTATTCAATAAACTTGCATTTTAAGGGTTGTATTGGCAATTTTAACTTAAAATGTGCATCATGATGGAAGGTGCAGACTTTTTTGGAAGGTGATAGTAAGTTTCCAAGAGGAGGGTCTATAGACCATTTGTCAGAAATCAGCTCAGCCCTCAAAGAATTGGGTCTGTGGGCTAGTTAAAATAGAAATAAACTTTTAAAATATCCACAGAATTGATATTGTGATTTTTTGGGGGCGAGGGAAATGCTACTACTTGTCAACGGTTACAGTACACCAAATTTAGGACTTTAAGTGGCAAGCGCTAGTAAAACATTTTATGATCCAGTTTTAAAAAATCAAACCAAGACCCTGCTAAGCAAATGAAGTTGCAAGACATGCCTATTTACTGACTTCAGTTCAGAATGAAAATGCTGGTTTTCCCACAAAGGCACATTTTTAGCATAAAGCTTTTTGCTAGTTTGGTATCATCTGCCCATAAAATAAGTCAGTACTTATCAAAGCTATTGGAGAAATAATTTTGTATATGTTTATTTGTTTAGAAAAGTTCAATTAGCATTTTCTCCATATCCATACTATAATTCTGTATAGCCAACCCTTAGTGGCTAATTGGATGTATGATTTAGCATTTCTTTCCCTACCCACGTTTATGGTTTTTTTTTTTTTTTTTTTTTAACTAAATTAGTGGAGCCATGTAGTCAGGCATCAAGTTTCATCCACTTCTTACCATTCTGCTACCAAAGGAGGAGTGTGTGAGAATTGGGGATGAGGATGGGGGAACACTGAGGGTACACATTTAGCTTAATTCTAAATGTGTGTCTGCTTTAAAAAACTTCTAAACTTCTAAAGTTGGTCTTTGATTCTTAAAGTTGGTCAAGTAAATTGGGTGTTTGAGGAACTAATTGCTTTGTCTGTTCTCTCCACGTAAGATAAGATTGAGTTACACTGATATCCTGTTGATTTGGTAATTCCAGCTGTTCCAGGGGTCAGGTGGGTTCAGAACTAGAGTGGAAGCTTAAACGTAATGTAGCAGGCATTGTGCTGTAACATCCAGTTGGCCAAATGCTTTACTCTAAAAATGTGCCACAGTAGGGAAAGCACAATGTTTGATGTTTAAAATGTTTTCGTTATGTTACAAACTTTTAAGGTTATGCCCTCAACTATGTGCATAGCAGTGAAGAGACTTGAAAAGGAAGACAGTAAAGCATTACAGACTTCCCTTAAGTTTGCTGCTCTACAAGTATGCAGCCTGCTGCAGGTGTTTCCTGTTGGTTAGTAAATAACCTCCACACATTTGCTGTTTAAAATTCAGCTATTAATAAAAATGTGTACTTTTGTCATTGCACCTCTTGGGTGTTCTTAGGGAAACCAAAGCAGGTCATTGTCATCAAAAATCTAAGCCACAGCAGTAGTCATTTATTATTCCATTCTGTTAACCAGCCTCTTTTCAATAAGATAATTCTATTTTGAAATCCCAAGACATCTGGCATTTAGGTAATGCAGATTTCCCAATAGGAATCGGGGCCGGGGAGGTGGGTGGATAATTTAGCCTCATTTTACTGAGGCTTACAGTAGGGATGTAGGGAAAGAGTTTTTAGCTTAAGATGCTAATATAGCTTAATTCTGTGGAGAGTACTGGGTTGGCATTTGGGAGAATGGGTTCTTGGCCATTAACGTGTGACTGGTGAGTTGCAGAACTCCCTAGTGGCTCCTTAAGTTTTCCCATTTATAAAATGAAGAGGAGAGGATTTCTAACCATAACTTCTGCCACTGACGGGCTGATTCTAGCAGCCTAGAGATTTGCTTGGTGGCTAGAAAGAGAAGAGATACAAGAACACCCATTTGTCCTAGTGAATGTGTTAATATTACACGTTCCTTCAATGGAAGGTAATCCAAAAATACAGAAATATTTACATGTTATAACTTTAAATTTTAGCACAAGAGCTGGAGATTGCAGACATTTTACAGAATGATACAGTAAATTTATTTTGTTTAAAGGAAATTCTGTAAATATATAGCTTATATTTTGAAGGGCATTTACAAATTTTAGAACATTTTCCCCAGACTGCAGAAAATATTTGATATGCATTCTGGAAAAGTATGTACTTACTACCAATTTGAGGGTGAGTGGTTTAGAGCTAAAGTTTAACCCTTTATAACTGCTGTGTTGCTAGGTGTTTTTGTTTTTTTTTTTTTTTTTTTTTTTTTTCTGAGACAAAGTCTCGCTCTGTTGCCCAGGCTGGAGTGCAGTGGCACAATCTCGGCTCACTGCAACCTCTGCCTCCTGGGTTCATGCCATTCTCCTGCCTCAGCCTCCCGAGTAGCTGGGACTACAGGTGCCTGTCACCACGCCAGGCTAATTTTTTGTATTTTTAGTAGAGACGGGGTTTCACCATGTTAGCCAGGATGGTCTTGATCTCCTGACCTTGTGATCCATCTGCCTCAGCCTCCCAGAGTGCTGGGATTACAGGTGTGAGCCACCATGCCCGGCCAGCTAAGTTCTGCTAGAATTTATCTAGAGCTTTGGAGAAACTTGGAATGGTTAGAAACTACTACTCTTCAAAGGAAAGGGGCTGGAGAACCAACAAAACCATTGTGTCCCTTTTTGGACATGGGAAGTAGAACATTAACCACTTGCTAATTATAGCATCTCCCTTAACCAATTCTTATCTACAACTGTGGCCTACCCTCAGTGTTGTACAATGTGTATCACACAATGTGCTATCTTGTTTCTGTGGCTTAAGAGAATTCACCATTTCTACCTACTGCTACCTAATACATGAATTAGATAACTCTTCCATTTGTATATTTTATTCTGTAAGAAAAATTCAAATTGCTGTTATTTGTCACATTATTAGCTAATTTATGAAAGCGCTAGCCCTCTCATTCAAAGAAGGGTTAAGGATTTATAGAATTCCTACATTCTCTGGAAGCATCAGTAACCTAAAGGCTAGAGCATGGTATGGGCATGTGCATGATGAATATTTTTGATGTATAGTTGATATATTTGTTTCAGTGGTTTGGTATTAGAACTGCTAGAAGGGAATCTCAGTATATTTTTTTTTCTTTTTTGAGATAGTCTCACTGTGTCATCAGACTGGAGTTCAATGGCACGATCTCGACTCACTGCAACCTCTGCCTCCTGGGTTCAAGCAATTCTCCTGCCTCAGCCTCCCAAGTAGCTGGGACTACAGGCACGAGCCACCATGCCAAGCTGATTTTTGTATTTTTAGGAGAGATGGGGTTTCACCATGTTGGCCAGGCTGGTCTTGAACTCTGACCTCAAGTGATCCACCCGGCTCGGCCTCCCAAAGTGCTGGGATTACAGGTGTGAGCCACTGCGCCCGGCGACTTGTGCTAATGTTAAACAAAAATTATGGGGGGTCGTTTTTTGTGGATTAAGTTTCTGCACTAGGTTCTAGCAGACCAAAGTAGTTACATATATTAAATACCACACAGTAAAATGGAAACTTTACAGAAATCAGTTTTTCCTGAAAACAGAAAATCCCACTCTGTCTGAATCGGAATAATAAGGAAGTCCCTTCTGCTTTAACCCTTAAAGAAAAGTAACCCGATGTTAACCAATCAGTTATTTTTCATTGTTTTGTTTCCTTACTCTCACAAAACCCACTATTCTGCTGTTTGTCATTGGGAGCTTTCATTCTATTTTGTAGAATGGAGGCTGGCCCATTCATAAGTTATGAATAAACGCCAGTTAGATCTGTAAGTAAATTTGTTGTAATTTTTTCTGACACTAGGAATTGCCAAATAGCCCTTCACAGGGGAAGTACTGGTTTTTGTTTTTACCAATCCCTGTCCCCTATGCCTTTTTAAAAAAGAGATGAAGTCTCACTGTTTACCCAGGTAATTAATTGCATTGCCTATTTACAGCCATGAGCATAGCAAACGCAACTTCAAGCTACTGGCTCAAGGGATCTTCCTGCCTCAGCCTCTGGAGTACCCTGTATTTTGTTCACAGAGCATGTTGACAAACTTGGATTTCTGCCCATCAAATAAGTTTGAACTATAATTATACACTTTTTTTTTTTAAGGCCATCAGCTTTGCAAAACCCCTGCTTTTGAAATATCTTTTTTTTTTTTTTTTGAGATGCAGTCTCACTCTGTTGCCCAGGATGGAGTGTGGTGGTGCTATCTGAGCTCACTGCAGCCTCTGCCTCCTGGGTTCAAGTGATTCTCGTGCCTCAGCCTCCTGAGTATCTGGGATTACAGGCGCCCACCACTACACCTGGCTAATTGTTTTATTTTTAGTAGAGATGGGGTTTCATCATTGTAGCAAGGCTGGTCTCGAACTCCTGACCTTAAGTGATCTGTCTAACTTGGCCTCCCAAAGTTCTGTGATTACAGGCGTGAGCCACCGTGCCCAGCCAGGTGCTAGTTTTAAAAGGTTCAGAGTTGAAAAGTATTAAAAATAGGGCTCACTGTATAGCACGGTGTAAGTACTATACACACACACACACACACGTATGATGTGATTCACAACTGTGATAAACATTGTCCTCATCACTCACCCATTTTATGGATGAAGAAACAAGTCCAGAAAAGTAACTTCCCAAGGTCACTCTTAGGGCAGAGCTACTATTTGAACACCTGACTTCTGAATGTGAGTTCTTAGTCGTCATCTCTTTGGCATTCCCCAGAGTAAAGGAAAAAGTGCCTCCTTATCAGTCCCTGATGCTCTTGTGAGATTACTGGAAAACCTGTCACAAATCAAACTGTATCTTAAAGAGTTGATTTTTAAGGTGGAGTTTTCTGATTAGGTATGGGTGTTGTCCCAGTATCAGTTGTATTTACCTTAAGGGGAGTCCTAATCGAAAGGACTAGCACAAAATAACCCATTTCTTTCATTTCAGTTTCATTCCAGAAGGAAACACTTTCTGAACCTAGATCCTAATGCCTAGGCTATGCCTTGCAGGGCACTAATGTCAAAACTGTTGCCTTTGGATGGCTTGGAAAGAGCCGAGGGACCTGTCTGCTCAAGGGCCAGCTATTTGAAGTGCAAATTGCCCTAAAGTGTAGTAACTCTCTTTCTGCCTAGAGTCAACAGGCTCTGAGAATTGAGCCCCCAACCTGATTTCTTCCATTATGGCTTGTGGAGTAAGCCTTGGAATGTTTTCTATGAAGATTAAATGAGCACACATGTCAAAGTGTTTTGAAAACCATCAGGTTTACCATGAAAAGCATCTTTCAGG